TCCTAAATAAATGAAAATTATCACAAACAGAAGGTATGCCCTTTCATTTAATACGAAACACCAGGTTCAATTGATTTGATGCAAATCCCTGTACTCATCAACTGAGGTTATTTCCGTCACTGACACGCGTACGGGATATTTTCTATCCCTAAATAATTACAGCGAACTGAGTCGGTAGCAATGCCCGTGTTTGTTAGCTAATGCAGCCCACCTTATATTTGATCTATTTTTTCGTCCTAAGTTTCGAGACTGTTCAAATGTTTTTGAATTAATATTCTCATTCACTTGTTCTAAGTTTTCTCGAAAGACGGTTTGGACAGCCTATAGTTTATTTACAGAAGCACTGTCTTGAGTTCAAAATATAATTGTTTATGCGGGTACGGGTTTGTATTTACGGTCCTGCTTCATTTTTTCTGGAGCCACATTGTATGACGAAACATAGACGTGGTTAACTCATAGAATCCCGCAACTTGAGCCCGGGGACTTGAATTGGTCAACCACAAAGAGCCCCTTCGGCATATGCGCGAAATAGACCGAAGGATGCGTCCGATTAGCGTCCGTGAACAGTTGGCAGGGATTTACTTGAAGTATTTCATCGTACTTTTTCAAAATAACTGCCTTTATTTGTTGGCATAAATATAATTTGACTTTCGCGTTTGAACACCTGTCTAATAAGTAAAAACATCGAACGGCTTCAGTTTCCATTTCATTCACGGAGGGCTGCTTCCACAAACCAGAATATAATTGCGTCTCTTGTTGTTGTTCAGGATTCATTGTGATTTCATCCACTCTTATGAAATAATCTCTGAATAACTTTCATCTCCGTTTACTTTTGTCCTCGTCTGTCTAGTCCATTCGTTATTAGCTTTATTTTTTCCCTACCTCCAGGCTAACTCATCTTCCTGCATAAACAATTCTCACGATGCAGATTATGATTTCCGGAAATTTCGTGAAATCTACCAAACTAGATCGTCTCCTTTTCGACGCACTGGGTCAACGTACACTGGATCAGCCTGTCCACGAACTAACCCGTGGCCCGGTTTCGTTCATCCAAAACAGCTACAAGTCTGGGGTGCCGATAACTCCCGAAATTTCCCGGTCTGTTTACATTGGCTTAGTCATATACTCGCTTTTTCTGTCGTAATCGTTAGTATCTATTGTATTTCCATGGACAATTGATCAATCTTCTTCTGGTCTGCGCCAATAGATCCCCACTCAAGTGCTTTCATTCTGATACCTACGTTGAGAATCGTTCTAATATTCTTAGCAATTATGGTCGCATTACCTCATCTCCACATTCATTCTGTACCTCATGCCTAAGTTCCTTTTTGTAGCGTATGCATTTCTCTTACGTGTGAAATTAGAGTTTCTTCTCACAATTGTAATCCTTTCGCACCCGAAAACTTTTATACGTTCTATCTGAGTTCATCATTTGCGAGAATACACTTCATAACTACTTATTGACCTCCGTCAATTCGTTTCAGGAAATCTGAAAACTTTTGAAATGCCTTGCAAAAAAGTAGAACTGCATCCGTTAGATGAATTACAACCATTTGTTTTATTACTCACCTTAACGTGATGAATAACAGACGGGGTAAACCCCATAGTCCGAAGTACATACTCTGCAGTTATGGAAACCGGCAACTTGGGTTAGGAGTGGCGAACCACATAACGCCTCGCCAGGTTAGGCGTTTAGTTTTCGGTTTTTACAACCATTAACTATGCGCTTTCGTGTGCTGGTCTTTTGACCGTCCAACAGCCGGGCGATCGTAAAGCTGCTTACCACCAAAGTTGGGTAGCGGTCGCGGGTCAGTCACTTAATCTGGGGGCCTTCAACGGGAGGACTCAGGTGGGTCAGCAAGCTTGTCTGTAGCGTACAATGAAATCCTAAGGGGATCCATATTTGCTGCATGTCGGAGACTCGAATTCAGGATCTCACTACTATAAGCCATCTGAGCCCGCCATATTTGTCCATGAGGTACATTCTTCGCACATCAGGTGTTGATGAAGCCCGCTCACTGGGTCAGCGCAGAGTAGGTATTGTACTCCCTAACAGCGCTGAGTTCTTTCCTATAGATTGAATCCCCTTCAACAGTCGTTTGTGTGCATTCTGTCTCCAGGGTTCAATCAACGTCTGGAAGGGAAGCAACACCAAAAGGCGTTTGTTCATCATATTGGCATATGCAACGACCCGTTGCAGTTCTTACACACAAAAGGATATTTTCTACGATGAACCCGTCGATATCATTCTGATGAGTCGAAACTCCGGCATAGTTGTACTTTTTTATTACACACGAAGTGATTTACAGGAAAAGAGGTAAACCCCATAATCAATGATACACTGTAAGGGGAGGTGTGTGGGGGAACATTCAAGTAAGAACCAATTAGTTAATCCTGCTTTTGAAAAGGGTAAGGTTATAAGAGTTGGGAAACACGGAAATGGGAAGAGTGTTCCATAATTTCGCAGTCCTCGGGGAGAAAGAAGATTGAAATATAGAAGTCCGACATCTGGGGACAGAAACCTGATAAGAGTGACTTTTCGCCTGAGAACGAGATGAACCAGAGAAGGTCAATGGAAGGGGAACCGCTGAAGCGAGTTCGGAATGGCAGAAACCAAAATAGTAACGATAGAACAGAGATAACGAAGCAACTGCCCAGCGATCGGAAAGTGACTGCAAGGTGGAAGTTAAAGACTGTTCGTCGATCAGCCGGATGGCTTTACGCTGAACACGGACGAGGAAAGAGAGAGCGGAGTACGAAGCTCGACCCCGTACGTGACTGCAGTATTCAAGCATCGGGCGGATTTGAGCTTTGTATATAAGAAAAAAGTGCTTGGATGTAAAGAAACGCCTTGCGCGGAATAGAAAACCAACTTTGCGCGCAGTGCGAGAGGCAAGTGTAGAGATAAGAGGGGACCAACAGAGAGAAAAATTTATGGAAAAACCCGGGAGGAAGAGAGAATTTATGGAACGAAGGGGCAGAGAATGAAAACTCAATTGAGGAGAAAAGGAGACATGTTTAAGAGAGACGGATAGGAGGGAAGTTTTGGAAGCATTGAAGCACACATGGTTGGTAGAACCCCATG